CTTCTCAGAGACAGATTCGTTGGAAGAACGGAGACAGGAAGGGCAAGACATGATTCGAACTTTTTTCTAAGAATAGAGAAAAGAGGAAGTATGATCCTGTTTCCGCGATATTTCACTTCATAGCCGAATAGGTCTTCGATATTTATGTTACATCGGTATATATCTGCGTTTTTTCCACTATTACCCACTCATAAGATGCTTCACTTCTAAGCCTTTTTTGATTAAATCGTAAAATTCGCGTTCAGCTCATAAAAGTGCTAGGTAACACGCACTACATGCAACTCTGTTATTTCTTATTAACGTTTTTGATTGTTGTGCCTGCTTTCCAAATTATGACATGATTTGCTTCCAGATATCACGAACTTCCGTGATTTTCAGTTCGTTAATGTGAGAACAGATCAAGGAGACGCGACGAAGCTGTACTTTTCAAACGTTTCGAAACAGAAGGAAATCAATGAGCCGAACAGTTCCTCAGTGAAGGTACACCAGAAGGAGTTTAAATAAAAAACTTATCTTCAACACAATTATTTGCGTGTATTGATCTGGAACTACCTCTGTAATCATCTTAAGGGGTAAATATATCAATTTCAACCCTCTCCTCGCCTCAACCCTCCACCCCGGCCAGGCAGATATGCCACCAGATCCAAGTGCACAGCCGAAACAACTTTCACCCCGGCTGGACAGCCCGCAATGCTTCTATCCTAGTGGGCAACATGCAAGCGCCCTAACTGCTTGGCAGTTAGTATCAACACTAACACCTTTTCCTTTACTTCCTTTCCTATTTTCCCACCGCTGCACTGAAATTTGTCGGACTGCCGCTATATTATACCGCTTTTTTCACGCCATCGAGGCAGACAGCAATCTTGTGATCAAAGCCCATATTACGCAGACGATCAAGCTATTTCGCGGAGAAATGTTTTCCTACGTTCCCCATCCCTGCCCCCCAGCCACTCACATACTTCTTCAGTTCACCTGCTTGAGATAGCAGATAAGCAAAAAAAAGAATCACTGTTTCAAAGTAAAACCATGAATTTACGTAAGTAGTTCTTTTTCACAGCCCTTCTTAGCTATCCTTTGCCATACCAGAAGCCAAGTTTTTTTGTATAGCTTTAATCACCAAAATAAAAATTTTGTGGAAAAAATAGCCTTTGCATAGGTATTATTGCTGTGTAAGGAAAAAAGTGAAAATACATAAATTCGTGCTCTATTTCATACCTATCAAAATGACATTAGTATTTCTTAGTTTTACGAAAATACAAATTTATCTGAAATAAACCCTAGGTATGCGTGTAAAAAAAAAAAAAGAAAACTAACGTTTCCTCGTTTTCATTAACATTGAGTGCTAAGCCTGTTTTCTCGGAGGGTAAACCTTCTGTTGGTGGGTGTGCCGTGGCAAGATTCGAATCCGTGGCATCCTGAAAAGTCAGCTGTAACATAATTTCGGCTGTTTCGCATTTGAGCTGGAAATCGCCGTACGTCAGGCGCTAATAATTCATAACGAAAACCCAAACCTCGGGCTGTTTTAAGTTAGGCGCAGTGGCAGAGGCCACAACATAGACATGATTGGATGTTACTGTTGTCGTGCTGGCTGCCATTGTTGCCGGAACTTTCTGAAGAGCCGGAGCTGAGGCGATGGGTGGCAAACCGGGCGAATTTTCGCGCGCACTTGGTACAAAATCACCTGCACCCGCTACAGGAACACCGCCAACCTGAAATGCTAACAGATTGAAAGCAAAAGGTGCAGTGCCTGGACTTTCTGGTGTACTGAAAACAAAAAAAATCGCCAAATGAGGGCATGCATTTGCTTGGAAGGGATTTTGAATCGGCTAGCGGGGCATGCTGCTCGTTTCGTCAAAAACACAGGAAACTGTCATCCGGAGAACACGCGTACATGTGAAGCATAGAAAGACGCAGATATCACCGAAAACTGTACAAAAATCGGGCATGCTAAAGCGACCCTCCCTGTGGTTATAGGAGCCACAAACGAAAAAGACAAGTGTGGAACTTACATACGAAAAAACAGCTACTGGCAGTGGAGTGCCAGGTCAACAGTATAGTGGTCAACATACCGCGACTTAATAAGTTTTTAGACACCGAAGATCAAAAATTCGAGTTTTTTTTGTCCCAAACTTTTGTAAAAAAAAGATCTTTTCTCGATAGACGGCGAATATATACAGAGAGGAATGTCCTCAAAATACCTCATCTCAGTATGAGGTTGCATTTTGATGGCCCTACAGTCCGCTAGGAGCATTCAAATATGTGGTAGCTAATTCGGAAATGAGGAAAAGTTAAGAACGAAATTTGTGCCTTCGAATCGTTGTCGTTATTGGTCACTGGAGAAATACTTGTTGAATAGGGTGTACCATGAACCGGAGTTACGGATGGTGGTGCAATCGATGTTACGACAATTGTACTCGATTCTTTTCTTGCATTCGGAACATCGATCGGCTGTGATGGCGCTGCAAATGGCAATACCTTTTTTTCGACAAAAATTTCAAGCATGTCAAATTCTTGAGCATATTAACATCCACATCACTGGCACGCACAGGTTCTCTTCCAACTAAAGAATAACTGGGGAAAACTTCAAAATTTTCCATTTATGAACAGTTATGAAAGAACAACTAGAATCGCGACTCCCTCTTTCATCTAAAACAACAGACAAAAGATTCCGTTAATGATACTAATTTTTTGCAAATTCATAAAAATTTGGTACTTTTTAATAAATAAGAAAAATACGAATTTCGTAAAAAACAAAACAATAAAGAAAATCAGAAGTATGTAGCTCACAAGAGAAAGGAGCATGGTTCCAAAGTAATGTTACATGCTAGGAAGTCAAACCCGCACCAGCTTGTTTCTGAACAGTCCTCGGAAGAGGGAGCTATCGATATTCCTATCTGCGGTTAGTTGTTGCTGGCTTTGATATCAGTCAGGTTATTTCCTATTACCTCCATACCACGTAGAAATTGAATACGGAAAAGGTCTTTGATCCCTTATATAACGTAAATTTGTAAATACATTTTTTTGCTTGCAAAGTTTTGTTGGTTTCAGTGAAGCTACAGAATTCAACAGTGAAATGCAGATGTTAGAAAAATCATGCCAAAGTCAAAAAGATAATAATTTTGTTTTTTTTTTTT